GGGTAAACGGGGCGGAGAACGGAGCGAGGGTCATTATCCTGAAGCGGGTACGGGGTGGGTACAGAAAACGTAATCCAAGCCACGTTACCCGCCACATTTAAAATTAATTTCAAATTTAAGTTTTTTATTGAACAAAAATAATAAATTTATCATCATTTTTAAAGAGAACATAAGTTGCTTTTAACAAATTAGTAAAAAAGTAATAATATTTACTAACTAAAGATACACACAAAAAAAAAAACAAAAATTAAAATAAATAAAAAAACAAAAAGAAAAAATAAATGGGCGCGACCAGCCCTACCCCGATTCCGCCCCGTCCCGCTTTAACCGGGTATGAGGATAGGGTAATGCAATAAAAATACCCGGCGGTACAGGGGTAGGAATGGCCGACCCGTCCCATAACTGCCTCATTGCCACCCCTACTCTCAAAATATGTTATTAATGGTATAAATTCTTCCATAATCAATTTTTTAAAAATAAAAAATAAAATACCTAAAACAACTGTGTTTGTTTCACAATAAGAAGTTGGGGGTATAAAAGTAATTCCAACCAAACAAGGCCTAAAAGCAAAGATTTTAGATTATTTAGTAACTTGATTGAGATTTTTCTGAAAGTTTAGTGACCTCTGATGAAATTACCCTCATTTAATGGATCATGGAATACCAGAAATTGTTGGTTTGCGTGCTCTATCGGTAGCAGTTAATAGTCTTCCTTTCAACACCAAACCCCATCCCACCCGCCAACCCCCACGCATCCCCTTTAATTGTAAGCTCCCAGAACCTGGTACATCAGTTGATTATTGACGCGCAAAGTTGTGGAATTTACCAAGAAATAAGGCATGGCAAACTCCACTCAGTTGAAATCCGAAGCCCTCATGGAGCAAATGAAACTCCATATGTCAACTGATGCAGGCAAAAAGCTTGTTGAAAAAGTTGGCTTGGTTTATCAGATCAACATAGCCCCCAAGGTTTTGTTTTTATTAAATAATTATTCGATTATTTGTATTGAGATTTATGAAATTGTTGTAATTATGTATTGTGTTTTTCGTAATTGGCAGAAAATTGGATTTAACGAGAAGTCTTTTGTGGTTGATCTGAAGAAAGGGGAAGTTAAGGAAGGTTAGGGTTCTAGATACACTTCTCTATTTCATTTTCTTCGGCTTAATTTGAAGTATATCAACAGTAATTTATGAGGAAATTTGGAATTTACCTATCATCAAGATTTAATATTTCCATCTACTGATTTTTTTTTCTAGGGCCGTACGAGGATGGGAAGCCTGATGCTACCTTTTCGTTTACTGACGATGATTTTGTTAAGGTTGCCTCTGGGAAGATGAATCCTCAATTTGCATTCATGAGGTGCCTTTTTAGTTCGTTTTCTACTTCAATTTGTAAATTTGGCTGAATTGATTTGTTTTAGTGAATGAAAATTAATAGTTTTAATTTAAATATGTTGGATGGATGCAGGGGTGCTATGAAGATAAAAGGAAGCATAAGTGCGGCCCAAAAATTTACGCCAGATATTTTCCCCAAACCCTCAAAGATGTGAGCAGTTAGTTCACAATGCACTAGATTATGTTTTAGCCAAAATTTCACACATGGTTTAGGAAGATAGCATTGTTATCAAGTCAGCACTTGTATCTTTAAGTTGAAATGGATGTTTTCTTGTGTGTCTTAGTACTCGACTAAAGGCATGCTTTTCATAAGGATTTCAAGACACTCAGCCCATTGAAATAAATACTCTCATTCGTTTATGTGTTTCTTGCTTGTGTACTTAGCGGAAATTGGCTGATATTTTTCTATTAGAACATAATGTCTCCTTTACAGGTTTTCTGGTTTTCTGTCTGAGGTCTAAAGGCAATTTATCAGACAGTTTTGCAGGTGATAATTCGTTTTGATCCTTGTTCTGCAGATTTGGAAAAAGCCTATTCCTTAAGAGGTCTTCAGACATAAAATTAGACACATTAGTGTCTTGTGGCGGTGTATCAAAGATATATTTAATTACACCCGCAAACAAAACAATATAAGTTGAGGGAAGAATTTTAAGGAGGTGTTGCAAGTAATATTCTCTAAATATGTGCTCAAAATTGAAATTGTGGAATGGCATCCACTCACATAAGTAGATTTTGTTCTATAGCCAATATTAGTTTAATCGTCTATTTGTCTTGGAAAAGTTGCTTTGTGATTCATATGCTCAAGGATGATGGAGGATTGTAAAGTTCATTGACAATGCTTTTATCTTATGATCTTACTGGATGTTCACTCCAGAGCTCGTTTACTATGAGCATGCCTTGAGTTGTATGATACAATGTCTTTTTTTTTTTCTCATTTGTTTTTGGTAACATAACTTTATTTACCTATCTAGAAAATAAAGGGATGGTGTCAATTTTAGAGCGTCAAATGCAACTAATTTTTGTCAAAAGTCTAGGCGCTTATACTAAACATGTAAATTGACTGAGTGAAGTGCCAAAATGATGGAAGTTTAGTGCTAAAAGTGCCATATTCTTCTGTTGGTTCGGAACTCATAATGGATGATGATAATCTGTGACGTAAAACGTCTGGATTTTTCAACAGGAAATAATAAATTTTGTTTTCATGTCAATATAGCATTAGTGTTGTGCTAATAATTGCACTTGGTCAACTTATAATGGTTTCCTGAGATTTTCTTCAGCATGAAATAAGCTGTAAGTTAATTTTCCTTCTTACTTGAGGATAATTATGTTTGTGATTTATTCTACATTGTTGATCAATCTTCTAATTTGGAAGAAATGCTATGTGAGCTTTCACCTTGGAGCTAATTTCAGTTTTGGAAATATGTTACCGTTTTAATGTGCGGGCTAAAGCTGAAGCTGTCATGATGGTACAAAAGTCTTCAAATGGCTTGAACATTTGATACAATATGAAGACAACATGTAATGTATTAGAAGAATGGAAAAGCAAGAGCCAGATCACAGCCCTCCGTTGACAGCAGGCTTTCTTTATCTTCTAGATTTCGAGCTTCGTTTTCTAGAAAATGAGTTTTGTGAATCTACCACCTCTATAATTCGATTTACGTGTCATAAATGATTCTGGATTTGACTCTGTTTAGTTTGTAAACATTTGCTCAGAATTGGTACAATGTGCATTATTCTTAAGGCAGGTTTATTTAACTACCATCATAGTCAAACTTGGAGAAGATTGAACCCTATATTTATGAAAACAGTATCTATCATACGGAAGCTATATGGCAACTTGAAAAAATACACAATATTGTGAGAAAGATCTCTTTAAAGGAGAGAGAAAAAAGAAGAAGAAACGCGACAGGCAGAAAATCATGAACCACTTTCTCTACGATAATTATGTCTGAGATCACATCTTTCTTTTATTCCATCTTTATTAATGATTTTGCATCTAGGATTTGTCTTTTTCCCCCCTAATCTAGGTAGATTTAACAACCTGATATCCTAGTATTGGCAGATAACTTGAATTTGTTGTCATATTACAGACATTGAAGTTTTGTTGCTAAATTAGGGGTTTTAACATCAATTATCGATGAAATCAAACAAACTAATGTCCTCTGTCAAACTTTGCACATGCTCATTTGTCTGTATGGTCAAGTTTCTTGAACAAGCTTCCCACCCCAACTTGAAATACTGATTTGTATGTGGCATCAGTTTATCATTATATCTCGTCACAAATTTCTCTGCAGCTACTTGATTCTTGAATAATAGAAGACCATAGCCCTCAGACTGGCCCGTTTGAGCATTCCGAATAACCTTTATAGTCCAAATCTCACTACGGACTCTATAGAAACACTTGTGATAGAGATAGTTCTCGTCCATTCCGGGCTGTAAGTTATCGACCCGAATACAACAGCATCTGTTTCTGATGATTTTGCAGCATATGGAGCAACCCTAAATATTTGCACCTGATAACCCGTGCGCATTTTTTCCCATACTTTTGCTTGATAGTGGTTCACTTCACCAAAGGGATCCACAGCTGCTAAGGTAATGTAATAGATTGCAGCAGCGGCAGGCTCCATGTTGAGATTCAGAATTCTCAAGAACTTGAGGTTTGTATCGTGTTCCTTCTTGTTGTATTGTTCTACTGCAAAGCACGCTGCACGTTCGCCTCTCTGATAAATATGACGTTGATTTTTGGCGCAGATTCTTGTTATTCCACCGAGCAAAGTAGAACCGTCGTCTGCTTGTGTCACATAGAATCCCTCGCTATTGTTCAAATCGTCCATGTACTCCGAGTACGCGGCTTCATCAAACGTTAAATTCTCCATATTGGCCTATTGCAAGAAAAAGGATTGAATATTCAGAAGAATGCAAAAGTAGATCAGAAGACGTTTTGTTTCATGCTAATGTGTAGGTATGTGTGTATATATATTGGTAGGTTACCATGTCCCAATCCAAATTGGAGTAGGAGAGAGAGAGAGAGACCTTAGAAGTTACCTTGAGCAAGTTTTGGTAAGTTTATGAAGTTTTTTTAGGAAGTAAATATATAATTTTTCTAAATAGCGAGTCATTGAATTAAAAAATCTTCGAAAATGGTAAATATTAAAAAACAACCTTGTTTGGCAAAAAAAAAAAAAAAAATTATTATTTTTATTAGGAAGAGAATGTTTGGCTAATATGAAAAGTTTAATAATTATTTTATTCATTAAAGTTGAAAATAAGTAAATTATTTATATTTAAAACAAGTATTTTTCTTTAAAACTAAGAAAAATTAACGTATCTAATCTAAATATCATAATTATGGTTGATTTCGGTTCTTGAAAAACCTGGATATACTTTACCTAATTTCCTCAAAATCCTCTCTTACAACACCAAGCTATAAACTTTATTAGATCCCTGTAAGAATTTAATTTGATCAAAATATTTTACACTGCTCGGCAAGTACAGACACAGAAATTCGGTCACAATTTGTGCAAAACTCGGCACACAGGTGAACAATGGCAGAACAAAACCACTAAATAAATAACACTGTAACATATGTTGCCATATGAACATAGGATTACATAGATTTTTTAGATGCCAGTGATTTCTTTTTGCCCAAGAACATGAATAATCGCGGCAACAATGATTTCTTCTTTTTCTTGGTAACTTTTACATCTGGAGATGAATCTGTCTCTGCGTTGCTGCTCGTGTATGCCCTTGGACTTGATCTCTGATGTAACGAAGATGCATCAGACTTTACGACAATATTCTGGAGTTCCATTTTACCCACAGAGCTCGTTTTTGGACTTCTACTCTGCTTTGCCACAGATTCGCCAGATTTACGCCTTTGTTCAAGCTCTGCTCTCCACTTTCTTAGCTCTTGCTCTACACCCAACTTTCCTCTCTCGGCTATAGCGGATTTCTGCAATGCTGTTTTCAATGCATCCTTTCTTTCGGCCATTTCATGATTGACTTCTTCCAGCTTATTCAAGATCCTTGATTCGGACTCCTTTGCTACCTCAATTTGGGATATGGCAGCATCCACCCGCATTTTAGCCTGCTCTTCTGCCTCATAAGCCCGTTTGCTAAGATCGTAATATTCTTCTAAAGAGAGTGTTATTCCAGTTGGCGGATTCTCTGATAAATCACTCTCCTGCAATGCATTAATAGCAACACTTGCCAGCTTCTCTGAAGCCTTAGCTGCTTCTATTTCCTTTAGAACTGCTGACAGTCTACTCTTTACAGTACTTGCTTCTGCTTTTGCTTGTTCTGCTTCCCCCTTTGCCCTCTGGAGTACTTCACGAGCCATTTGGGCAAGTGCTCGTGCTCCATCTACCTCTTGAGCAGCTTCTTGTAGTTGCTCGGGGAGTTCAACCATCTTCTCCATTTCATCTTTCTCCATCCCAACACGAGCGATCTCCGACTTCGTCCTACTCAGCTCGGCTTCAAGAGATGCAACCGCAATCGAAGCCATTCCATCCCTCTGTTGAATGGCAGCAAGTTCGGATTTTTCTTTTTCCAGTTCCAACTTCAATGCCATGGATGCCACGTGCAAGCAGCTAACTTCAGCTGCTGCTTTCTCAATGCTGAGCTTCATTTCTCCAAGTTCCTTCTTTGCTGAAACAACAGCCACTTGAACATCATCACGAGTTTTTCTCTCTGGTCTTACCGGTGCATCTCTCAAGTTTCCTTCCTCAGTTTCCTGCTTTAGTTTCAATTCCATGTAAGTTGTCAATTCAGCTTTTAAATCCTCCAGTAAAGTTGATGCAGTATCTAACTTCAATTTGAGATCTTTTGCCAACAAAATACGCTCGTTTAGTTTCTCTAATTCCTCCTCTGCTCGCTTCAATTCCTTCTCCCAATACAGAGTGTTTTCTTCTTTAGCCATAACTGCTCCAATTCTGTGTTCCTCCGCCTCAAGAAGTGCCGCATGTGCCGACTCCAAAGATTCCTTTGAAGTAATGAGCTCGATTGTCAAATCCTCGACCGACTTTTCAACTTTTTTTGACATAGAAATGGTTTCTTCTGCCTTCTTGACTGCAGCATCTTTTTCTGCCACTAACAATGCATAATTTTTCTGTAGTTGTTCCAGTTCATCTTTAACAATTTTAAGCTCGGAAGCAGCAGCCGCATGCCTTGCTCTGAAAACCTCAAGCTGCGCCTTGGCTGCAAAACTGGCTTCATCAGCAATCCCTTTCTCCAACTCTTCGACCCTTAGTTTTGCAAGTTCTGAATCCTGTTTTGCTTGTTCTTCTTCTGTAAATGCTCTTTCTAGATTAAGTTTCAACTCTTCTATGAGTCGTTTAGTGCTATCGAGCTCTGTTAAGACCTGAATTTTTGCATCTTCAGCAGCCTCGGATTGTTTCTTGTACAACGGAATCTCCTCCAGTGCCTTCTCCAGTTCTTGCTCTATAAACTTTCGTCTCTGCATGTGCAACAAGATCCACTAATAAAACTATATTATGAGGTTGTAAAACTATAAACCTTGTTAAGAGCAACAAAAAGCAAGATAAAATTATTTGCAGGAAAAAAAGTGGGAACACTCAGGAAGATTAAACTACAGTTGCATATTAGTTTAGAAACTGTCACCAATTTATGTTTCTTGATCAACTGGAACATGGTAAAAATATCCAGCAATTTGAGAAAATACAAATATCCACAATTTTGGAACCCAACTCAATGATGAGCGTAAGAAAGACAGTAAAACGTTAAGTGCATGTCTCATTGGAAGATTTGGATAGCACTAAACTATTTAAGAAAAAAAGAAGTTAAAATCTTGTTAATTATAATATTCAGTCTTGTCTACTCCCGCATACCAAATATGTAATAAGAGAATTGAAGAAGATTATACCTCCTTAGTCTGCACATGATGGGCTTTCCAGTCAACAATTCCCCCAAACCTTGAAACAGCAGACTTAACAGAATCAAAAGGTGCCTTTGTATCGATTTGACCTTGATTCATGACAGAGTTGTCAGGCTGTCTAGAGTGCTCAGTGGATATTGGAGTCTTATCAGAATACATGGGAACTTTGGCAATAATTGGTTTAGGGGATAAAATGGTAGGTATATCATCATCTTCCGGAGATAGCCGCGCAACAATTTTGGATTCTATATTTTCTTGTTTATGAGGCTTAAGAATGTACAAATCCCCAGATGGTGCAATTGAGCCATCAGAGGTATCATTTGGTTGAATACTAGGACTGTTGATGGTACAACTATCTAATGATTGCAATGTAGTGTCATCGAGGTTTGCTTCCATTATACTTGATGATTGATCCTTGTCTGAATGGGAAAATACAGGTGTGACTGAAAACTTGAGAGGAGCATTGTCTTTAAAATCTTCCTGCATTCTGATAATATCCTAAGCGGAGCCAAGTGACCTGGAATTCAAGGAACCAGAAAGAGTACATAAAAATTAGCTAAAGTAAAAAAATGTATTATCTTTTATCATCCCCCAAGAAGAAAAGTACAAAAATAAAATAAGGTAAGTGGAGTTGATAACAATGATAAGAAATAAAGATCAATTAAAGGTAATGTATCTTCTCTTTTTTCACTAAGTTATATAGCAACTTTTAGTGTAAATGACAGATTCCTGGTGAAAAGCGTAAAACAAAGGCAAGTCAGAAGCACCATGATGAATAGCATCAAACACCACCAATTCATGGAAATTATTCAAGTCCCCATCCTTTGATGAAAAAATGAATATCGCATAAATGTGTGAGAACGAAGATTGCAGACATAATTAAAAATAAAAAATAATTGCCCTAAAAGCTTAAGCTTCTAGATAAAGTTAGTGTCGGCAGCTGAGCCAGCCTGCGAGCCCTTTAGTATCAAACTCAATTTAGTTCCAAATTTTCTTCTATTTATAGAAGCAAATCACCCATAGGTCGGGCTGGCTTGTGAAGCCCACGAGCCTAGGACCCTGTGCTCGGCTCGGTTTGCTTGGCCAAAATTTGAGCTCGGTTTAATGAGAGCTCGAGCCGCCGGTGGGCCGAACCCTCATGAGCCTGCCTGTGGTTCGAGCCCATCACCATCCCTAAATAACGTAGTTCAACATGGCATGTACCTTATCCAAGTTGCTGATAACGTAATGGACATCAATGAGAAGCTTACTAAAAATGTGAATCAAGGTCCTAAAATAATAATAAGATGTCATTTTATCAGCACCCCATTCTACCTACATATGCAACCAGCAACATCATAAATTTGAATTCCTTTGACAACATTTAGAAATTTAATAAAATCAATGTAATTTAACTGCCCTCTGAAATACAAGAAGCCTATGAATTCAAGATGCAGAACACAGACAGATGCATCTGCTTCTCAAATTTTTATGCTTCCTTGATTGTTCCATTAAACCACCTCATTTAAAATATTAATATGTTAGAGAGGGAAAGAAATTTGTATATGCCTCCCCTCCTTGCAAGTTTGATTCATTTTTCGTCAAGGACTAACATATCTACAATTAGTGGCAAGATTTGAATCTTGGACCTCTGCCTGCTTCGATATCGTATTAAACCATCTCGTCTCCACATTTATGTACTGCAAATTTATATATCCAAATCTTATCTTCTAACAAATCCCACCTCCAAAACACACACACACACACACACACTTGGGCAATCTGAATTGATGGTTTATTTTACATTTTAATCCAAATTAACAAAATATTAATAACATTGAATGAACATTCATTTAAGAATTCAAGAAATTGAAAATAAAAGCTAAAACAACTTAATCAATCAAATATTAAATAGAATTACGATAATTCAAAGATGAGAGAAAAGAATGTACCAAAGAATCATCAGATGCGAAAGAACATTTATGGGTTTCTAAAATTTCCCAGCTTCAGTCACTGCCCAAAAACAGAAAATTAAAATTCAAAATACTAATCAAGAAAATCAATAAATGCATGTAAATACATATTTCTGTATGTATGTATGTATGTATGTATACATTCTTTGATAAATTCATTGGCGTAGCTTTGTTTCAGCTTTTGAGTTTCTATTTCAAGGATTGGTTTCTCTTTTTTCTTTAAAAAATAAATCTGATTTTTCCAATTATTTGCAATTTTTGTGGCAAACAAATGTGGTTTATATGAAGCAGCAATTTTTTTGGATTCAATGGTTAGAATACAATTATGGGTGGCCTTTTCTTTATCACATTTTAGCGGGTAAATTTCATGCAATAGTCACTGGACTTTCAGTCAAATATCAACTGGGTCCCAAAACTTTAATTTTGTTTTACATTCAGCACTTTGTCACATTCCATCACCTATTGTCCCTTCAAAAAAAAAAACGAAATTTAGTTAGTGGACAGAAATACATTGATTGATTTTCCACTAACTGTTGTGTGACACTTAAGAAACGGACATAATAAAATGAGGGTTGTTACAATGTCTTCAAAATAAAAAGTAAAAATGTTATGGCTGTTCTTTTCGTATTTCAATTTTTTGCTTTGAGTTTTGAATTTATTTTGGGTTTTGTGTTTTGAGTGTCTATTTTGAGATTGTTGAAAACACGTTCTTTTTGTCATTTTGAAAAATTGTTTTCAAAAATAAAAGAATGAAGTTTTGGCTTGATTTTAACTGAAAACAATCAAAACGATTTTTTTTTTGCTTTTTCCGTTGTCTTTGTAAATTTTTAATTCGTTTTTGGAAATTCGTTTCTAAAAATAGGTAATTAAACATGTTTTCAATGTTTTCGAAAATTAAAAACTAAAAATGACCTGAAAACAGCAAAGAGAACATACCTTTAATTTTTTTGTTATTTTAACTTTTTTATGATGTGGCGTAGCGTCAAAGTTGGCATGACATGCATTCAACGATAGTTGATTATTAGCTAACCTTAATTATTAATCAACTTAATTACCCTTTCATTGTAATTAAAGGAAACGATAAAAGCGTAAACCGTACCGGATCTCCTTTAACCATAGACCATGACGAAATGGCTTGCCCAACGAAGATCTCGACTGCCACATTGGCACTTTTTTAAGCCGGTCGAGCTCAACTGCCTCCCTGACTAGTGGGCGACTTTGGATCCGGCTTATCATATCAGGAACATCAGCTTGCACTTACACTATCCACTTGCTAGTCAATCAAATGTGTTGGCTGCACCGCCAATTTTTAGGCCACTTGTTCTCGCTTTATCGTGGACAACCTCCTCTAGCAGACAACCTACATTGCCACTTGCCAGTTAATCGAGCTTGACCGTCCTCCAGCAATGACGGGTTGCTTTTAGCCATTTCAACAAACTAGTCCAGCCTAACAGACCGTAGAGCTCGACCAGCCTATCACCAATTGGCAGTGGGGTTCAATAGCCCTTACTGGCATGCATTCCACAATCAAGTTTTATTAGGATTCGTTTGACATGGGTTTTGCTTTTGCTTTTACTTTTACTTTCTGAAAAAGAGTTTTTGTGGAAAACTACTTTAATTTTTGTTTGAAAACTAATTTCTAAAAATATTTCATATTCTGGAGGTGCTTTTAGAAGAAACCGTTACATTGAAGTAACTTTCTCTGAAAGTTTTGCAAACTACGAATTACATTCATAAAATTAACCATTTATTAGAACCTAGCTCATATTGTCAAATTCAATTTGTTTGAATATCTAATACAATTTTTTCTATGTTGTTAGTGGAACAAGTTTTTTGTTGGGTCCATGATCCTTTATAGGATAGGGAGTGTGCTTGCTGCATATCACTCCTCCATTGGAGACTCGTCTCATGCATGATACGTTCTGATCGAATTGGGCCCATGGTTTCTTATGATGCCACAAGGTGATTGCTAACGGTTGGAAGGCTCGCTTTTGACTTCAGATAAAACTATGCTAAGATTTTTCGAATTGTTGAGTAAGGTGGGTGGCTTTTAGAGGGTTTGAAGATGCAAATTGACTTTCATTTCATTTTTGTCCAATGGGAGATTGCGATGACGTGGACACTCTATTGGTGAGATCATCAAGTCCTATGTGGCATCCACGTGGCCCCAAATGAGGTGAAAGTGTTCACGAAACACTACACCAAAAAAAACCTTTTACGGCGGCCAAAAAACATTATAGTAGACCTTTTGCAGCGTTTTAGCGTGTGTTGCAGGGATCGATGTTGCCGTTAAGGGAAGACTTTTGTAGCGTTTATTCACCATTGCGAAAAATCATTTTGCAGCGTTTTTCAAACGTTGCGGTAGACCCTTTTGCAGCGTTTTTTTACCGTCGCGAGAGACCCTTTCGCAACATTTTTTCAACATTATCGTAGACCTTTTTTTTTAAAAGGTTATATATGGTAATTGACCAACAAAATTGAAAATAGAAG